TGGATCACGGAGCCGAAGCGCCTAATAACGGCCCAGCGATGAATCAGATCAGGGAAACGAAATTTACAAACAACGGTCACGAGGTTGTGGCTGTGTTGACTGGAAGCGGTGATTGGAAAAGCATGCACATGATTGGAACTTTCCAACTTGTTGGCAGTGGTGCACTGGTGCTACGCGTGAACTGAGAATCCAGTGGAAGACTATTGCACTTATGAGTTGTCTGTGCTTCTGAAGAAGACAATGCGTGATAGTACTAATACCACTTTCAACTAATCGTGCTAGAAACGCGAAGATATTGAACTATTGGGAAGTTCCAGTGGAAACCCTGGCCTAAGTTGATACACAGGGTCACAAACCGGCGAAGCAATCACCTAACAAATTACCATCAGCAATTAATGAATCATGATATTGTTATCAACACAGAATTCGCATATTTTATCAAAATTGGCTCCCTCCCCAGATTATTCAGGGTCTCGGCCTCGCATTCATGCAAGGGTATGCATGCTGTGCCATACACCAAGCTCAGACGGGAACTGGCCGGATCTTGGGGCCACAGAGAGCACTCTAAAAACTCTTGGTACCAAACATGATGTGCTACGCAATGCCTAAGCCTCAAAATCATACCAGCTGTCTGGAAGTTCGCCCCGTTTACCCGTAGGCGAGGAGACAGCCGATAGTTCTCCGGATATATTCATGATCAACTTGTATATAAACTCTGGGATATCACCAATACATGAAATATCATCAATCATAAGTTCACATTAATCAACTACCAGATAATTCCTCAGCCAACATGCCTACTGCTACCGAATACTTTGGCATAACTGTCAGCAATATTGGTCCTCTCACTACGACTTACACGCCTCCTCCGGAATGCACCAGGGCAACAACCGATCATCTCGTCTATGCCCTCGAGAGCTCCTTGGTAGTTGGATTTGGTTCTCCCGACTGTCAGATTGACCCTTATGGAAAATGTCTTCCCTTTGGGGCCGCCATGGATTCCATCATCAAAAAGTACAGTAACCCAAAGTCTGCTGGACAAGGGTTTCAACCGTTTCACTCTCCTGGAATTCACTGTCCCCAAGGTTGGACTACCGCTGGATTACTTGCACACGGTGATAAGACTGGCTCCGCGTATAGAAGTGGCGTATTTACTTCCACGACGAGCGTAAACTCATCGCTACCCCAGCAGATGGGCTCTGATGAATGGTGGCTCAAAGTCTTGGAGCCTTCCGAGACCCTCGCGTGGTGCTGCCCGAGGTAAGTCGACGTCTCAGACAGTCTGTTACGATATACACTAACTCCATCGCTCGCAGCGGCTGGGCTTCTCTCCCCTATGGATATTGCAGGTCCTCCGTTGCCCCTGCTCTTTCAGCCGGCTACAGCAGCGCTTGTTATCAGGGAATCGCCGAGACCGCGGGCGTTGTCACCGTCCACACCGTCGAGGGTGAACCTGTTTCTGATACAGACGGGATTATCTCTTTCCTCCCCGACAAAACCTGGACCACGGAGACGGTTGCGTTGACCGAATATTGGAGTGATCCTAGTTTAGTCGCATCAATGGTTGTTGCTAGACAGTTTCCTGTGGTTGAGATGATCTACAAAGCTGAAGATGTCAAGGCTGCGAAGAATGGGTCCAAGGATGACGAAGATGATAAGGATGGGAAGGCTAAGGACGATGATAATGCTGCTACGACTCTTTCAAGGGTCGGAGGGATTGCCTCCGGGGTTGCTTTGATGGTCGGATTGCTGACTGGAGCCGGTCTGTTGATGCCTTGGTGAGGTGTATGTCACGCTGGGGGGGCCTGTCTTGTAGTTCGAGCTCAATGTAGGTGTTGATAGGATGTTGTCTTGAGGTAGTTTCTCACTTTGAGGAGGTAGTCAATCTGCGGCTTACGTATCACGTACCAAATTGAACAATATGTTTTCTTCAGGCTCGTGTCAGTCAGTATGTGCGAGTTATTGTTTGGCATACGAACGCACGAAGGTCCCAGGGATACATAGCACCAACCCCCATTATCGTCAGTCAATTTTGGGATATGATAGATCTGTACTTGTGTCGTCATCTGAGTCTTTTGGTGGGCTCAGATACAGAGTGTGAAGTTACAAAGTCTGAGGAGGCAACTGGTGATAACACTGTGCAGAGGAACCTACGGACATGTGTGCGTAGTCTCCAAGTGAAGCTCTTCAGACTACCTTGATTTCATGGAGAAAATCTCCCTCATGTTGTATCAGTGATGATGGTCTATTCCCCTGAGTCGTTCATGGGGTCCGTCACAGTGGCATCCCCCTTGGGTCCCAATTGGTATTGCAGAGACACCCGAGCTGCTTGTGTCGGCTTGTCTATTCATGCGCCTTTCGACCATCTCTTAGTTACAGCAATGTCCGGATCTTTTTATCTAGACCGTCAACGTTATCTCAGTTCCTAGTAGTGCCTCTATTGCTCCCACGTCGTTGTGGTAGGCTGACTGATGCCTTGAACCAAGCACGTTCAGCTTTGCCTTGGTTAACTTAGTTATAATGATACCGCCATTTGTCCATCTCTTCAGGGGCCTCTCAGTTGCCTCTCGTCTCGCCTTCCATTGTTCAACTGCTGTAAATGATGGTTGCCTCACTGGTCAGGCTCCTTGCGATCGTGATGGGGAGGGGACAGCCTCGTTCCTTCCCCCTCAGGTTCTTCGTGACCGACCATAAAACTCGGTCCCCTCAGTCCCCGAGTCTTCTCTTCTTCTTTTCTTCATCATCATCACTCACCCACTCATTCATTCATGTTCTGCCCAGTCTTGTACTCCCCAGCGCCCTCATGTATTTGCCCTTCTTGTACTATCTTTTCTTCAGCGTTCCCGTCTTTTATCCAGCGTCATCATTTCCTATTCAGCACATTCTTGTATCCCCAGCGTTCTCATGTATCTGCCCTTCATGTATCCCTTTGAGACTCAGATTGTTGACTTTAGTCGATGATCATCACCGTCTCACATGCCCTTGGTCAACGGACAGTCCATTCAATGGCTGAAACCGTACCCTTGCAAGGGCTAGAGCAAGTCAGGTTGCCCAGTTGTCATAGCCCCCTTTTTAAACTGACCGGGGGCTTCTATGTCGACACCATAGTGACTGGCTAAATAGCCTGCTCATTTCGTGGCATTGGGTTCGCGGCTCGCCCTCCGGGCTTGGCTCAGCTGAGACATTTTCCCCGAGATCCCACTGTGAATTCTATTTCAATCGTGAAGGTTAAACTCAATATGTGCCGCCATCTCCGGGCTCAGTTAATGTCCAAATGTGTTTAGTGAAACTCCATTGAAGACTGTCCATCATTGCCTTAGTAAATAATCCCCCAGTGCCAGTTTGGCATCCCTCTTGAATCTGTTGCGTGAAATTTTGATGAGTGAGGTGCTTTCAGTAAAGACTTGTGAACTGGGGAACTTACACTGCTCATCCAACCTCCTGGTCTATAATCCTGTTGATTGGTGGTTGTCAGCCTCACTGCAATATTACTCTAATGTCGCCCACAGTCGCTTGAGTAATAGAGTAGATTCAAGTCCCCGTGCTGCTTATCTGGTGACATGAGGTTCGCTCATTGAAGACTGACCTGAAGGAAAAGAGGGAAACGGATAATACAGATTGCCCTGTCAGCATACGGGTAACTCACGACGCCCGAGGAACGATCAGTGCTGCAAAGGCACGGATTTATTTATACCTAGATTTGAGTGCATTAACTTTAGTAATATTAGCTCACCAAAGTTTGTTTTGCTGCAGCCTACAGGATGATCCAACTCTGTTGCGTGGCTGTACAAGCAAGCTTTAATGTAAACCCACACGGTTGGCTGGGGCATCATGCATCTGCTACAAAGTTTTGTTCTAAATACTCTCGCCTCTAGGAATTAAAAACATGTTTTGTCATAAAAGTAAAATATACATGCTCTTAACCTAGTCAGTTTTGGAAATGGAAGCCAGGTTGTGCCATCTCGACCGGCATGCTTCAATGTTGTCTCCAATCGCAGCCCTCACAAGCTCGACTCCGATGGAAGCTCATCACCCAAAATGTAGATGGTTCTTCCATCCTAACTCGCTACAACCATCCTCTCCTCCATGGACAATGTACAGGAGAATCAACAGGGCGCTGTCATATCTCGGCTATCGAACATCTTGGTACTTACACACGACAGTCTGTACATTTCGGAACGCCAGAGCAGCTACGATTCGCCCATTTGACGATTGTCGCACGTAAGAGGACAGAATAATTGCTTGTCAAAATAATCGCAATAAAGTTGCCGTGCTGAGTGGTCGGTGTCGTCAGCCTCCACGCTGGGCTTGGATTGGGGACAAGCAACACATGACAATCTGTTGGCGCGCGACATCTCTTCTAGGTCCATCTATTACCGGGCATTTAGTTTACAGCTTGCTATATAATTCTAGTGTACTTCGAGTGCGATTGGAGTGGGATCCGAATATCGACAAAGGTTATGCTCTTCAACGAGGCTTCAGGAGAAGAGAGCTGCTTTTGGCCACATCTGTCAACCTTATCCTCCACAGTGGGAGCGGAATATATTTGACAATCGTTATGTTCAAGCTGTCGAAAGATATCTCGATCGCTGGCCCGCAAAAGACTCACACATTCAGCAAAGTACACAAGGTCCCAAGGTGCAGTAGCTCGTATAGCATCACAACGGCATTCATTATGTGGTGGTATATAAAACACCCTCGGCGTAACTCGTCATCCTCGATTTTTTCACGCGTCCTCGCGCGCATCATGTGCACATTTGATCCTACACACGAACAAGTTCTCTCCTCCCACACTCAATGCAGTCCAGCCCTCCAGCTTTTTTGTTGGTCTCTCATGCGCTGATCATCGTAGACCCCAAAAGGTACTTTTGCCCGCCGGCAAAACCCAGTAAACATAAAACTCCGCAAGTAGATGGAATCAAGAAAGTTAAAGAAAAAGGACACGATGGAATAGATGGTATCAGATTGGTTGCGGTTCGTGGTTAAGCTGGGGTTCAAGCTTAGCCGTGCAGACCGCAGGTACGCTCTCTCATCAGCTCACGTCTCTTCTTGTCCTTGGCTAAAATAGGGGTCAGCATTTGCTTGTATCTAGTGGGAGCGTGTAACTTACCTCCGTCAAAGACGAGGAACTCATGTAGACCGGAACCGACAGGCACCATGGGCAGGACAGGAACCTTCTTGTCGGTGACGACCTCCAGCAGAGCAGGGCCGTCGGTGTTGATGAGCCACTTCAGGGCATCGACAACGTCCTCAGGTTTCGAGACACGTCGGTTTTGGACGCGCATGGCCTCGGCGAGCTTGATGAAGTCGGGGTTGCTCTGGTGAGTGTGGGCATATCGATCCTCGTAGAAGATGTTCTGCCATTGTGTGACCATACCCTGCTCCTCGTTGTTGAGAACAATGACCTTGACACCAATGTTGAACTGAGC